GAATTTCATTGTACAGGGAAACACGTTTCCTAACTGTGCATATGACAAATAAACACTTTGACCTTTGACCTTGAAGACCACTGTCATGCCTGTTTTCTAAACACAAAGCTAAAGCCAGGAGATGGTTAGCCTAACTTAGCATAAAAAGGCTGGAGGTCACTAGGGTAGGCAAAGAAACTGTCCAGGCCATAATCCCCCATAAAAGCAGAATTTACCATTTTTACTGTTGTTTTTTTTTTCCACGGGATTAAGAATAATCACTTTATTTGGCCAAGTATGTTACACACACAAGGAATTTGTTTCTGGTACAGAATCGAGGCAGCCATCTGTGGCACCAAGTCACACCAATGGCTCTAACCATCGGGGGCAACTTGGGGTTCAGTGTCTTGCTAAAGAACACTTCGACATGTAGACTGCAAGAACTGTCATTCAAACCTCCAACCCTCTGGTTGGGAGATGACCGCTGTACCCACTGAACCACAGTTGCCCCATAAACAACAAGATACAGTATAGTGAGTTGAGTAGTGAGCAGGTGCTGGTAGGAATCTTTTCTCAAAGATCCAGCAGAATGTTCTTCTATTCCTAGTATCTATGACCATGTATTAGTTGTTCAGAGAGCTGTTCGTGTATGTCAAACATTTTTTTTAATGTTTCTGTATTTTCTTTTATGATGCATCTTGGGCATATACATAAACATATTGAATGTGAAAATGTAATTTGGCACAACTGGCTAATCACACTTGACCTTTAGCTTTTGGGTCCAACTAGCTAGCAAAGAGACATCATGAGTGAGAGCAGTGTTTATAGCAAAAACCTGTTTAGGGTCTGATTTAAGGTTTTCTCCTCTATTCTTCATGTCCTATTCTAATAGCGCTAGTAGAAGAGGCATGGGTGAAGGCTAATAGTCCTTTTTATCACTCCAGGTTTAATTAGCTATACCGAGTCCACATATTTCATTTCTGAAACATGTCACATGACAGAAGCTTAAGACACACTAACATCTGTCTCCCTGTGACTTTAAACATTGGATAGAGTAGCTGTCCAGTCTTTATGCTATGCTATTGTGGTGCACCTAAAGATATGTCACCACATTGTTTTCAGTTAATTTATTATTTCATAATTGGCAATTGAATGTACGTTTTATTTTGGGTGCCACATTTATATTTTTAGAACATTATGATGTTTTGTGTCTGCTGTCCTGGATTTGGTGGTTGGAGAACAGAAAAGGGTAAAGCGGGACCTTTGTGCGCTTGGTGTTGCACCCAGAATGGTTTTGGGGAGGGACCTTTCGTCCCCTCCCCCAGATGCAGTTTGGATGCGAATGCCAGCACACCGTGAGATTTCTATTCATATGTCACATTGTGTTTTCCAGGTTAGTAGACAGTGAAACTATCCATACAAAGCAGTATGATGTTAGTATTTAATAATTTGTTAGTATAGCGTACTGTTCGGTGTATATTTACATGCTCGTCGGTAATGGTTTAGTCAGTCAAGGCTCAGAGTAAAGCGAAGGTTTCCCGCGTGTAGTAAGTCTCGCGTGATCTTCCAAAGTCCAGTTTTATGGACCTTATTCAGTTTTATTGTCACTAATATGCATTGTATATTGTTATTAGGAGTTAAGTGGAGTAAGAATGTTTAAACCGAGGTCAATGTAAATGCATGAGAGATAGTTATATATTCAGTTTGAAGTAATGTAAATGTATTTTTGTTCAAAGATAACAGTGTGGTATTTTTAGTGTGCAGTCCATTAGTTATTTGGTAACTAATTACAGCTATGCATGGTACAGTGGAACAACTGTTTATTCACCACCATAGTGGTGCTCAGATATGTCACTCAGGTGTTAAAGTGATTGTATTGAGAACTTGAGTTATGGAAATATGGACTAAAAATGCACTTTATTCGTACACTGTTACAATGGTTGAATGTTAATGTTTGAATAAACGCAGATGCATTCTGGATGCGAATGCCAGCACACCGTGAGAGTTCTGTTCATATGTCACATTGTGTTTTCCAGGCTGCACTAATTCACTGCTACGCAGCCCCGGCACTCGGGGCCCGTAACACAATGCCAACCTAACCCTGGCTCAGACTTCAAATTTAGGAAATTATTATTTACAGTCAGGGAAAAAATTATTTGAACCCCAGCTGATTTTGTAAGTTTGCCCACTAACAAACAAATGATCGGTCTACAATTTCAATGCTAGGTTTATGTGAACAGTGAAAGACAACAATAACAAAAAAATCCAGAAAAATGCATTACAAAAAAAGTTATAAAGTAATTTGCATTTTCATGAATGAAATAAGTATTTGATCCCTTTGCAAGACGTGCTTTAGTATTTGGTGGCAAAACCTTTGTTGGCAATCACAGAGGTCAGACGTTTCTTGTAGTTGGCCACAAGGTTTGCACACATCTCGGGGGATTTTGACCCACTCCTCTTTGCAGATCCTCTCCAAGTCATTAATGTTTCGTGGCTGATGTTTGGCAACTCGAACCTTCATGGCAGTTAATTTATGTTTCTTCCATTTGTGAATAATCGCACCAACTGTTGTCACCTTCTCACCCAGCTGCTTGGCGATGGTCTTGTAGCCCATTCCAGCCTTGTGTAGGTCCACAATCTTGTCCCTGACATCCTTGGAAAGCTCTTTGGTCTTGGCCATGGTGAAGAGTTTGGAATCTGGATTGATTGATTGCTTCTGTGGACAGGTCTCTTTTATACAGGTAACGAGCTGAGAGGGCTCCCAATGTCAGCTCGTTACCTGTATAAAATACACCTGGGAGCCAGAGATCTTGCTGACTGATAGGGGATCAAATACTTATTTCATTCATGGAAAATGCAAATTAATGTATAACTTTTTTTTGTAATGCATTTTTCTGGATTTTTTTGTTATTGTTGTGTCTCTCACTGTTCACGTAAACCTACCATTGAAATTGTAGACTGATCATTTCTTTGTTAGTGGGCAAACTTACAAAATCAGCTGTGGTTCAAATAATTTTTTCCCTGACTGTATCTTCCTATTTAACTAGTCAGTTAGCATATCATATATTATACCTTATATAATCCATCCAGGCTGTTTGCCATCAGCTACAGAACAATGATAGATAAACTGGAAAGAGTTTCATTCAGATGACATTAAAAAGAGCCATAATCAAAGCACACTCAGCTGCAGGCTTCTGACAGTGAGGCTGTCACACTTTCCATGGCGTAACCAAGACTAATAACACCTAAGCAATGCAATAGTCATTCAGTCCCTGACAGCAGCAGATGTACTATGTTGATTACCAAGTCAAAGGTGTAGTTCTAACAGCTGGATCTTAAACAGGATCAGACCAACCAAACATTAGACCTTTAAACTGCAAATACCCATCTGATAACATCTCAATCATTACGATTACATTCACGTTTTGTTTTTCATTCAACCAGCTCCTAGTTTTCAGAGTGTAACGGACATCTGTTTGCTCACCAACTTGGCTGAACAGTCATTAAAAAAGGTAATGTATTGTTTTACCTCCGGAATGCGGCGGGGGCCCACACAGCAGAACCACTCCTTGACCTTCACGGACTGATACAGAGCTTCTTCTGTGAGTCTTGAAGTTTTCCAAGTCTGAAAAATAAAAAGGGCAGTAAGTTAAATGTCCCCGCTATTCTGAAGCTGATAGAACTATATTTGATCCTGGAACACACAAAGCTGCTGGCATGAACAAATGATTGTGCTGTTCCTCCTCTTATTCTTATGCCATTGTTTGTCTCGTCTCTTATTTCTGTTCAAGGTCAAAGCATATGGAGCCTAAAGCAGTGTGCAGCAGGCGGGGAAACAACAGGTTGCCAGTTTGTCATAGCGCTCACACTGAAACACATTACAAACTCACACTGTATCAGAAGGTTTCTGCCCTATATTTCTTTAGACTGTGGGAAGAAACTGAGGCTAAACCCTTAAACCCTGACAAGTGCAGTACTTGTAAACTCCGAGGGCCAAGGCTCAAACTCACAGTGTATGAGACAGCAGCACAAGCCACTACATTGTCCTCATAAACAAAATAGATACAAATGCAGGAACACATTTATACTCTCTGTATAAATGCTATGTTTCAAGAATGACTTCCTCATGGTTAAATGCCTCCACCATGAGTCAAGTGGCAATTCACATCCATCCAGACTCTAGTGGGTTTTGAATGAAATTTTTAAAAGTATATTTTTCATGAAATGGAATTTATCACTGTGTTGATGTACTGTATGATTTTACTGAGTAGTTTCCAGTTAGAAACATGCTGTCTTCATTTAGAGACTATTTTTACAGAGGAGTACATAGGACTGATAAAGAGCTCTGTCACATCATCCTTGAGTCCAAGCGGATGTCTGTGCCAAATTTGAATAAACACCCTCAAGTTATTCCTGAGATAGCACGGTCACAATGGAATGGATGTGAGGTCACAGTGACCTTGACCATTAATCACCAAAATCTAAGCAGTTCAACTTGACTCCAAGTGGACGTTTGTGCTGGATTTGAATAAATTCCCTCAAGGTGTTCTTGTGATACCTGTTCATAAGAATGGGATGGACAGATGGGCAATGTGACAACATACATCTGTTGCCTGCTCAAAGGTATCAAAAAGCTCATCTAAAGAGTGGCTAAAACAGCAACAATTTTTGGGCAGTAAACAGTCACTGGCTTTGCCTCAGGACAAATCACCCTTCTGTGCAAGTCTATGTTGTACATATTCAAGGGTCATTGTGAGGGTGCCACAAGTATCTGAAAAAAGTGAAGTAAATGACCCCAATGGGGCCTTTTGCTGCAAGAATACAGCAATACCTGGTTAACGAGCTTTAAAAGTTGAAGATTTTATAGAAAGAAGCACTGTGATGCAGTGTGAATAAAAGCAGAGAAGAACAAAGCTTTATGTAATGGTAGGCTGAAGGAAATGGTCAATTTGTGCTAAAAGGCAAAATAAAGCAAAGGATGCACAGGGACACTGAGTCTGCTCCTTAAACATCTGAGAACGTTTTGGTAAAAATGATAAAAACTTAAGATGATGACTCATATGAAAGCTCCAGAGTACAAGATGAGACAGTAGCAAACCTCAGGATTTCAGAACAGGACTCGCAAAAAGAGGAGACAGCTTATTAAAATGTGTTTTTAGAAAATCTTGGCAACATATCTGTGCTTTTTAAATATTTTTAAGAGATTAAATATTTCATTCTTGAGTCCACAGTATTAGTTGTTTCCATTCAAATTTTAACAAAACATCCTGAATATCAGCAAAGAAAAATTTGAAACAATGTGTGCTTCCATCTACTGCTGCATGAAGATGCACACAGTTGGTGGTGCTTATTCTTCAGTGCCATTAAAGTATTACAGAAGAAGAGGGTGCATTGAGATGACATAATTAAAAAAAGAGTGCCAGCAAAACCTCAAACAGTGGAAAACACTGTATAGACATAATGGCATTTACTGCACATTTGTTTCATGTTTCTGGTGTTTTTCTGCATAAATCAAATATATGCATAGAAGCCTCCCAGTGCGTCAGATTTGTGTAACATCACTGTCAGATCCAAACATTGCTTCATGTCTTGTTTTTAATTTCTTATCCTATATGTAACAGTGGACATACAATATACACCTAAACAACTGCATACTTAAAGAGACACTTGAGAGAGGGAGACAATGAGAAGACTCAAGACTATTACTGTACCCTGCACTAGTAATTGTATATTGCAAACAACAAATGGAAGTATTACATGAGCTCAATACATTATAAAAAAAAAAGAGTTGAAATCAATAGTACCACACACCCACTAATATGAGCCAAAAAGCAATCTGAAGCCCGACTGCTAAGCAGAGAGTGTTGCTGTGGTGGGTCACACATGAGGGATTTTAATAGCTCCGGTGATTATCAGGTTACCTTTCATTCATCACACCCACCAGAACATTACAAAGCTATTCCTGGTATAGTTTTGACACCAAACGTACTGTTAAACCAAGCCAATTTTCATGTGACAGCTGATGGAAACAACAGCAGGTCGTAACCACTTCCAACGACTCGCTGCACTAATGGTGTATATCCTGGTAGAGCTCTGTAAATGTAATTCATACATCACATAGCAGCCTCATGTCTGCACTCAGGTGGAAGGAGATAAATTTGTTCTTACTGGAACTACTTAAATGAGAACAACTGTTGACCAAATTTTAAAAATTATGATACTTAAAAGGAACAGCAGGAAAACCTGACTTATTTACTAGAATCTTTGTTCCACCATGGCAACATTTTAAAAATACAGTAAATACCTTCAAGTACTGTAACACAAAAACAATCACTTTTTTTTACTTGTTCCATTATTGTTTTTGGTTTTGATTATTTTTTTCTGCTTGTTGCATTTAGTTTGTGCATTTAGGATGTTGCATGCACTGAGGTCTAAGTGCAATGATAAACCAAAATTCCTTTCAAACACAGGAAATGACTAAATGAATATTTGAAGACCAGGTAATGCAAGGTCTTAAATTTTATCCATACATATTTTACAAATTGAATTAATTAACCTAAATTAACCTTGCTCTATAATATTCAGCATATTCTCAAGTTAGTGTGATTAGTGGTGCGGACACAAGTGCTCTCTACAGACCTGCTTGTTGCAAAACTGCAACCAGTCCACTTTCAGATGAAATTACTGATTAGTTCAGCTCCAAGTGAGCTAAATGTAAAATTACTGGGCTCACTGATTTATGAAGAGGACTATAAGGTCAGTTAATAAATGTCATATTGGCTGCAGGACAAGTCAATTAAGCAGCAACCTTTAATTATTTCTTTTAAACATAAATCTCCTCTTAATCCATAACATAGTTTAACTAATAGCTATTAGAGACTCTTAACCCCTATTAAGAAAGCAATAGCTAATATTTTCTTTTATAAAGATTAATACCAGATTTGGCACTTTAGGGTCAGCTGGATGTGACAACTTCAAGAAGGTAAAAAATATAATGGAGATATTTATGACCCATTTAAAACACATCATTCGCCATAATATTATATGGAATTAACATTTTTAAGAAAGAACTCCATTATTTTTTTCCTGTGTACAATTATTGATCAGACAGTTATCCATCGGTGCTCTTGGTATCACTAGATGTATTATAATGTTAGAAAAAAAAACTATAGCAAGACATTCCTTTTGTTTTCCTCTGTGTGGCTCTAGGTGTTTGCACCTCAGCTCTGTCAGGTACACGAGCTGCAAAAAGCATTGTGGACAGCCCAAATGTCTTCCTACTGTATACGTGTGGATTACACTATGGATTACTTCACAAGTGAGTTGTCAAAACACACCACAACTAAGAAAGTAACAAAGTGGGGCAAAGGGTCGTACTGCCTCTGCTCTGGCCGGGCTGCAGAGCAACTAGCCATGAGGAGGTGATAGTAATTGGCAGTGCTTGTGCTCTGGTTGCCCACCTGCTGCAGGAGAGCCTGAGTCACCGTGCTGCAGTGGGTTTCAAGGACTGTTTGAGTTTGTGTGGAAGGTGTGTGGCATGAAGAAGCCTAACCTTAAAGAGACTGAAAAAAGGAGTGAGAGAGACTGCCCACTGTGAAAGTACTACTGTGTGGCATAGCAGTACACTCAGAATATTAGCAAGACAGGTTTAGCTTCTTTCATTTAGCCACTGTCTCAAATTAGTCAGAAATTCTTGGCCTACATCAATATTCTTTTACTGAAATAAAATTTTCAACATGAAAGACACAAGGCTTTTCTCCTACACTGACAGTAGGCTTGAGAGCTGGAAAGACATACTATTATCTGGACTTCAATATGACTGACATGTTTGTTTGATAAGCATCAATAGTTTATCTTTTCTTACTGGACAAAAACAGGGTGTTCTTCTCACCTGTCTTTTGCATTTCGGTTGCTGTCTGAAACCTGAACCTTGACAGCACTGAAAGTGTGGGAGCACTTTTGTTGGCTTATTGTCCAGATTTATTCAACTATCCTGCTATGCCTCTATGGCCACACACAAACACAGACAAACACACACCCACACACACAGACATAGTTTGAGAACCACTGAACCAACCTGGAGGTTAGGTTGCAGCAAGGAAGACTGCAGCTACCATCTAGTACTGTACTTAGGTACAATTTGGAGGTAGTTGCACTTAAAGCCTATAGAGACAAGCTGGTGAAGACAGTGATATTTCCCTCAGGACTTAGCAGAGACCAAAAACAGGGATAAAGGTTTAGACATTAGTCTAACTCCAAGTAAATGGTAAATTGCCCCGATGATGCCTTTTAACGTGACTCTTTGTTTCCCAGAAACTCTACAGCGGAGATTGTGATAGCTAAATTAGCACCAGCTGTAGCGCCACCTGAAGTTATCCTATAGGGAATGCTGACTGTCAGTCAAAGGTGATGAAGACTGCAATAAGGCAAACTGACTTCCTTGTTCACAGTGGACTTTATCTCAGGCTGGCGTTGCTCATCAGAGATCACAGATGAAAGCATGTGGTAGAAATATCTTCACCTTTTCTAGACTTACAATTAAATGAACTGTTTTGGTTGTATGTTGCCTCTTTCCACTCTTTGGAGGTGCAGTAAAAATTGATAAATTGGAACAATTTTTTTTAT